TGGTTGTAGGCGTGGGTTGAAAATTATACCGGGCCTAGTTGGAGGCGTGGGCTATGAAGGGCTCACAAGTGAGGGGGCGTGTTGGGAATATCACTTGTGAGTTGTCCCACATTGATTTGATAGGATAGATGAGCCTAGTTTATAAGTCTAGTGGGCTACTCCTCTCATCACCAATTGGTTTTGGGATGGAACCTCACTTGGACTTCATTTAGGCTAACACTCTTATGGTGCGCTTCACCTGTGTGGGACCGCACTCGTATTGCGCTCGTTTGACACTTGAGCCTCATAGTGCGTTTCATGTCCGTGGAACCATACCCGTCAACTCCGGTTTCTTCATACAATACATACTAAATGAGTATCATTCTGAATGTCTCTCACCTTGCCTATATGAGTATCATTCTGAATTACAACTCTACCTCACCGCGTTTTTTTTTTTTTACTATTTGATCAACACAAGATCATATGAATAAACATAATCATTCTGAACATGGTATTTTGGTTAATTTATCCTTGATGATTGAATAAATATTGACATATTGAAATTCATAAATGAATTCAATTTTTTTTCTTTCATATTAATAATGCATTTGATTTTAAAATAAAATGAAGAATAAAACACCTTTTGTACTTTATGAAATTCCCTTTTCACTTTTCATATTTTATTTGAAATTTTTTCAGTGGTCACCTACATGGATGCACATATTTTCATCTTATTCCCCCCAAAATCTTATCCGAATCTCGTGAAATGATTTTAATTTGAACATTTTCACCTCGTTAAAGATTATTAACTTGAACAGTTTCACCTTCCCATTTACCATGTACACATATTATTGAAACTTTATTAGATATTATCATACAAGATATAAGTATTTAATTCAAAAATGGGAAGGTGAAGCAGACCGGGTGGATGAAGCAGACAGGGTGACAATAGACCCACTCAAACTTAGTCGACTCGGCCTTGACTCGAGCATCGACCAGATCACTATAATTTTTTTTTTATTTTATATTTTGTTTTTTAAAATACTTTTTTATTTTAAGAAAAAAAAAACTATGTGTAAATATTTATATGATAAATATTTTAATATTATTAACACTTTTGATTGGTTGATGTACAAAATTACAAAACATTTATCTATGTTAGTTTTATATAAATTCATATGATAAAAATACTATGCATAATTTAAATTTTTTTAAATAATTTATCCGTGTTAGTAATTGACTCTTATGATCCACCTGTTGAACCGGAAGCTTGCTTGGATTGATTCTCGTTTAAAAAATAAAAACTATGCATTATTCGGTCTATTTTCTGAATTCAAATCCTCGTTTAAAAAATAAAAACTATGCATTATTCGGTCTATTTTCTGAATTCAAATCCCACCGTAAATCAAGTGGGAAATATTTGACAAATGTGCAGGGATTGTGGACCAAGTTATTATACCTATGTTTTATTGAGAAACAATTGCCAATTTTCAAGAGTTTACAATTTTATTTTTATTTTTTTTTACAAGAAAATGAGGCAATGCCTGCGAAGCTAAGCTATTTTAAAATTTTTCTAGGATAAGACACCCCGATCAAATCATGATGTAACCATATGTCTGCCCCTGGCGGAGGAGAATTCAAACGATGAAGTCCTCCCGGGAACTTCGCCGCCAAAGAATCCAAGTAGTCTGCAATAAAATTGGCTTCTCGATAAACATGAGTAACCTCCACATACACGTACGTCTCAGAAACTCCAGGATGCCCTTCAAAATGCTCCCATACTGCCCGTCGTAGTTATCATCCTGAACCATTGAAATGATACTTTGATTGTCAATCTCAACTTTAAGTTTTTTGGCCCAATATCCCAGGCCAAGCTCCATCCCTAGAAATATATAATGCGTTTTTCAGAATTTATTTTTTTAAGTGAAAACAAAATACATTTTTAATATGTTATTTTAACTATACATTTAAAATTTACATATATACTCATATTTTTTTTTTTTTTT